GTTTATTTGTTTTGTCCAAGACAGGTTTCTTTTTGTAGTCCTGGCTGTCCTGGACTCGCTTTATAGACCAGGCTGGCCTTGAACTCACAGAGATCTGCTTGCCTCTGCCTCCCAAGTGCTGGGATTAAAGGCATGTGCCACCACACCCAGCTTTGACATGAGCTTTTGAATAAGAATTAAAATAAGAACGAGGAATGGTTGTGCACACCTGTGAGCCCAGCAGTTGGGAAGCAAAGACAGGAGGATGATGAGTTTCAGGCCAGCCTGTACTACATATTGAGAGCTTGTTCCCCAACCCTTGGGGGGTTAAAAAAAAAGAATTGCAATGAGAAACCTCTGCATAATTTTGTGAGTTTTCTAGCTTTTCCTAGAAGGCAGGGGGAGGGGATAGTAGAATGGGAAGAAAATTTTATGCTTTCTTTGATTTATTATAGAAATGTATTCATATTTACAAAAGGCAGCTACGTAACTGTAAGGTAAGACCTTTGTTCTGGCTGTAGTGGGATCTGGAGCAGCAGGATTGTGATTTCAAGCCCCTCCATGGCTTGCTTTTTTTTTTTTTTTTGAGAGCCTGTTTCAAAACCAGGTATTTGTAGGCTTTTCCCCAAGCCAGGTGAGATAATATTTTCTTTCTTTCTTTCTTTCTTTCTTTCTTTCTTTCTTTCTTTCTTTCTTTCTTTCTTTCTTAATTTCTTTCTTTCTGACTGTCTGTCTGTCCGTCTATCTATCAATCATCTATCTCACTCAAGCAGGTCAGATAATATATAATTATACATACATACACATATACTGCAGGTATTTGGCTTTGCAGGCTGGGAATGTGAAGAATTAACTTGGGCATTTTCATTCTGTTGGTATTTAAAAAAACAAACCAAACAGGTAAGTTTGGACTACAAATTATAATTTTACTGCCCTGTTTTAGTCTCTTGTACCTGAAGGCATAAGTCTCAACAACATAAGTGTTGTTCGTAAGTTTGTTAGACCATGGGAAGCATTGGGCTGCCTGCTCTAGAGTTGAGGCAGTGTTTCTGGAACACTGAAGTACGTAAAACTCACTTGAAGAGCTTCTGAGACAGTACAGACCCTGAGAGCTCAGGGCCGAACACCTTATTAACAGGCAAAGGTGGTTCCAACAGTCTGAATCCCCAGGTAACTACCATCCCTTACTGCTTTACTGTTATGTAAACAGATTATTATAATGCACACTAATACATACTGAAATTGAGATGTCTTTGGTGTAGCAGTATCCCAAAGGAGGAAGTGGTTGATTCTGCCTGATATGAGTAGAATTCGTAGAGAAGCCCGGGAGCTGGGCCGAAAAGGGGTGTCAGTGCTTAGGTTGAGTCTTGAAGCTCACTAGGGGTGCTGAATCATTGGGGTAGGTTGCTCATAGCAGGGATAAAGGTCATCAGAACCAAGCACTGTCACAGGACTGGAGAGCCACTAAAATCCTAGTGACTAGAAATAAACTCTGCTGTTTTCTCTTAACTCCTGTATGCCATTTCATTATTTGAGAAAAGGTAACTTAAACTTAACAAGGTAGTCGTTTCTTACAATCCCAGCACTGGGAGGTGGGGACAGGAGGGGAAGTTCAAAGTCAGCCCTGACTGTATGGGGAGTTTGGGGCCAGGCTATGAGACCCTATCTCCAAAAGAAAAACAGAAAACCCAAAAAGATAATTTTCCTACTCTCTACCTGCCCTTCGAGAAAGTAGGTCTCCCAAAATTAAATGTTCTCCAGAAATAGAAACTTTTTACTTATCTCTGTTTTATTAAGAATTTGGAAAACTGGGGCTGGAGAAATAGCTCAGTGATTAAGAGTGTGTACTGCTTTACCAGAAGGCCTGAGCTCACTCTCCAAACCTATGTTGGGCAGCTCACAACTGCCTATAACTCCAGCGACCAGGATCCCACATCCTCCTCTGGCCTCTGTAGGCACTTGCACTCATGCGCATTCATCCACACACAGGCACACGCACATACATAATAAATACTACACCCACACACAGGCCATGTATAGTGATACATATCTAAACTCCAGAGTTTGGGAGGTAAAGAGAACCAGGAGGTCAGGCTATCTGTGGCTACATAGTGAGCTTGAGGCCACTCTGAGCTACTTGAGACTCGGTCCCAGGAGTTGTCAGCCTGTGGGCCACGAGTCATTTGGAGTCAAATGACCCTTCCACAGGGGTCATGTATCAGATAACCTGCATATCAGATACATTATGATTCATAACAGTAGCAAACTTCGCAGTTATGAGGTAGCAATGAAGGGATTTTATGCTTGGTGGTCAGCACAACATAAGGAACTATATTAAGTGGTCACAGCATTAGCAAGGTTGAGAACCACTGCTCTATCTCGGACAAAACAAGAATATAGATAGGATGTGAAAGTTATTTGTAGGCTTCCTGTTTCCTCTTTTACCAAGACCTGCCAACATAGTCCACATTTGCACCCAGACTGTGAAGAAGGCAGCCAGGAGCATCAAGAAGTACTAGATGCACCTGGGTAATGACTTCCACACCAACAAGCACGTGTGCAAGGAGATCACCATTATCCCCAGCAGGAAACCCTACAAGATAGCCAGCTAGGGCAACGCATCTGATGAAGGCAATTCTGAGAGGTCCCATGAGAGGTGTCTCTATCAAATTGCAAGAAGAGAGGGAGAGAGAAGAGAATAGAGAATTACGTTCCTAAGGCCTCAGCCCTAGATCAGGGGATCATTGAGGTAGATCCTGACACCAGGGAAACGCTGAAGCTTCTGGGCTCTGGCAGACTCTCCAGCCTGCAGGTCACTCAGCCTACAGTTGGGATGAATTTTAAAACAGCACATGGAGCCGTTCAAGTCTGTTCTGTCATGTTTCAATAAACCTGGAAATAAAAGTTATTTGTAATTACATATTCTGAGATACAGCCACTATTAACATCTTTGTTTTCCTCTGGTTTTTTAAAATGATTTTTCTTAATATTTATTTTATTTTTTATTGATGTGTATAGGTGTCTATGACATGTATGTGTGCACCCATGGATGCTGGAAAGAGGATCCCCTGGACCTGGTTGTGCGCTGCCCAGTGTGGGTGCGAGGAACTGAATTTATTTACTTGTTTTAATAATTTAATGATTTTTATTTCATGTACATTGGTGTTTGTCTGTGTGAGAGTGTTGGATCCCATGGAGCTGGAGTTACAGACAGTTCTGACCTGCCACATGAGTGCTGGGAATTGAGCCCTGGTCCTCTGGAAGAACAGCCAGTGTTCTTAACTGCTGAGCCATCTCTCCAGCCCCTGGGAACCAAATTTAGGTCCTCTGCAAGAGCAGCAACTGTAGCCAGTTGTTGCAAACCTTTAATCCCAGCGCTCAGGTAGACAGAGGCAGTAGGATCTCTGTGAGTTCAAGGCCAGCCTGAGCTACAAATTGAGTCCAGAACAACCAAGGCTATAAAGAGAAACCCTGTCATTTAAAACCAACAAACAAACAAACAAACAAACCAAAAGAAAAAAAAAACACAAAAAAGGAAGAGTGGCAATTGTTTTTAAACACTGAGGAGTATCTCCAACCACCCTTTTAAAATCTTTATATAATTATATAGTGCTATTTCTAAGATTGAGTTTGTATTGTATGAGCATTGTTGTGCTTGCTTTTTCATTTAACGTTTTATTTGTGAGCATTTCCAATCTGGTGTTTTTGTTCCTTAAAAGTTTCATTTTAAATTATTGTATAACATTCTATCATGAGGATCTTTAATAGTTTACATAACTATTCCCTTGTTTGTAGATCCTTTAAACTGGTTCCAGTTGCTGGTTGACCCATGTTTTGGATCATGTATTTGGCAAGTCTATCACCACATGTTAAAATACATGCATATACTTACTCATTTTTAATTATAAAAGTCTGCCAACTTATTTGATCTGCTGGCCTCCAGTCATTCTGTTCTGGTTTGTTTAGCACTTTGTGTTTTCTCCCTTGGTTTCCCTTAGCAGAAAGAATGGTTGAAGAGAGTGGTTGTTAAAATGTGTACTCTGGGGCCAGGCTGTCTTCTGCTTTCTGTGAGTTAACTGAGGATGTACCTTGCTCATTTTGTCCTGGACTGTAAAAACTCAGGACGGTAGTCCTGTATCTGTGTCTAAAGAGAACTGTTTCTGTGTTGTGAGTTATGAAGCGCTGACAATAGTTTGAGCCATTGGTGAGACCATCTCCTCCTGTTTACTAGTTAGTAGCCTCTTTTCATTTGCCATATGGCAGCTCTTTGTGTATATGTACCCATTAACCCACTTTTTGTTAGATCTGGTACCTGAATGTCTGAGAGTTATGAGCTGATTTTACTTAGTAACTAACTTTATTTGAAAGTTGACAGCTTCCTCCCTTTACTTATAGGAGCAGATTTTACAACTCCTTATTCCTTTTTTTGGTCTTGAACTCATGATCCTGCATTGGCTTCCCATGTGCTGGGATTATAGGCTTCCACTATCACACCTACCCAGGTTTTCAAATTTTAGCGATAATGTCATCATTTACCGTGTCTTAGAACTGCATTCAGGGGTGCAGAGAAAGTAGCCTGCATAGGCGGCTAGATTAGGTTTTAAAGCCCTGCTGAGCCATCTCCGGTTCTGCTCCGGTTCTCTCCGCATGTTTCCCATGCCCTGCGTCCCGACCCCATGGTGCTGCTACTAGGCATGAGACTTCGATGAGGCTCTTTAGATCTGTACCCTAACTTACCTCTGCTGGAAGACTGGGGCATTTGATAAGCCGCAGCTTCTGGGGAGAGACGTGCTGGGAGGTGGTGAGGTTGCCATGGAACCTTGTGGATTTGGTGGAGTAGCTTTAGAACTGCGAAGTTTCTGTTGGGAAGCGTGGTAAGAATCTACCAACTCGTGATTACTTTTAGGGTACTTGTGGCATGGGGCAGCTCCTCTCTTGCTGGTTTGGGGGGAGTGGAGGGAGGTATTGCAGAATCTCTTTCAGTAATAAAACTTATTGCACTTATCCTCTCTTCTTTATAGGAGGATCCTGGCACACCGGAACAGATGCCTCTGTCAGTGGTGGTTGTACCTTACATGAGAGAAGCCCAGGAATGATACATTCTTGGGTTCTGTTCCTCAGCATTCAACCGCTTCAGGACAGAAACACCAACTCTTTGCTTACCAGGACACACGTGACCTCAATGAAGGTCGGATGGACAGATCCTTTCTGGTGACTTTTTGGCTTTTTTTTTTTTCCTCGTGCAAGTTAGAAGACAGTGAAAGGATCCAAAAGTTACCTGCTTTGGTGAATGACTTGGTTCTCAGAACATGGGCCCTCGTTTAAAGGTACATATTGTTACACACTCTATCAGAAACACAGGCAAGCACTCTTCTACAGTGTCAGTAGATTGGAGTAGACTCACATTGTCTAGTAGGCTTTGTTGGCAGCAATTTGCCAAGTAGTTCCACTTTGTTTGATAGTTGAGCAAGACAAGCACAGGTTCTCTTACTCTGATATTAATTGCTAATATTTATTCTCAGATCACACATTCTATTTCACGGAGTAAACTATCTTTCTGTCTGTTTATCTTCTGTATTATATATCTGGTATATATAATACACACACACACACAAACTTTTCCTTCATTCACTTGTAGCTTGTAAAAGGGTTAAGTGGGTTGAAGAGATTCAGAGCATTTCAGAGAGGCCTGGGAAAGAACCAGGGAAGCAGATAGGGATGAAAGTCCCTGGAGGAGTAAAGTGTGATCGCTGCTACTGCTGCCACCATAAGGTCAGCTGGGGAGCAGAGCCTTGGGTTCTGGTGAAGCTGCAGAAGTAAGGTGCAGACCAGAGGGGCGAAGGGCGGAACTTGACCCACGTGAATGGACAGAGAGATGCATTGTAGACAGGCCACAGTTCGAGTAAGCCATGTCAGCAGCAGGGAGTGAGCCACGTGGAAACCACTGTGAGAGTCAGGCGCTCTCTGCCTGCCATTTGCATGTGTACCAAAGACATGCACACACACACACACACACACACACACACACACGCAGGAGCGCTGGCTAGTCAGGTGACAGGTTGCAGAATTAGGCACCCTCCTCTTGGTGAGGTTCAGGTGAGAGAGTTGCACCATGCCTCAGTCTGGTGTGTCTTATACACTCCACACATGTGCTACTGTAGTCTAACCGACTTGACAAATGCAGAGGGCGCACCCTTTCTACTTTGAGGAAGAAGTTGTGTGTCGGACTATGCTCCTGGGTAGTGCTGGACAAATTGTTGTTTACATGTCCACCGAGGCACAGTCACCCTCCATCCTCCATCCTCAAAATGAAGTCAGTTGCTGCTTGTAAATTTAGGGCGTTTCCTAGCGCAGATCACTTGTTTTTTGTTTTGTTTTGTTTTGTTTTTTGTTTTGTTTTATACACCACGGAGTAACTTAGGACAGGACACAACCTGATCTCAACCCTGAGGCACTAGCTTGTACTGAGATCTGCTACTGTAGTAGAAAACACAGGTCAGGGACCAGATCCTCAGCCTCCTCAGCAAGAGCGCAGAGGAGCACGGATGAATGGGATTCCACTGGTTCTGGCAGTACAGTTTTGAACTAATTCCTCATTTTTGAAAAATGGCCTTTTTACAGCTGACCTTCAGTGATGAGCTAAAATATATTGCGTGTTGCAAACTTGAGAATATGGATGTCAGTCAGCATTTTGGCATTTCCTGGAGATAGGTATTATCAAGCATTCCCTCCCTTCTTAATACTAGAGCTCTAATATTAAGCAACTTGCCTAGCATTCTGTAGTCAGCAAATGATATTCCTATACTAGAGAATTGGCACTGCATTCATTTTGTGTTGCCATGCTTTATTTTTACTTCAAAAGATAACAAAAAAAAAAAAAAAGCCGTAGGAGTCTGTAGTCCTAATTTTAGCTTTGCTGAGAAATTCCTTAGATTGGGTGAATTTTTTTTTCTTTTAATTCTTTATTTGCTTTCTTAAATCTTTTTTCCCCCAATACTTGGCTATTTCTGTGACTTCATTCTTTTTCATGGTTCATAGTTACAGGTTCAAAGTTGGGGCCTTCAGTTACCTTTTCCAAGCCCAGCTTTGTTGTTGTGTGCTTGCTTTACCTGAGAAGTGAGAACAGTGGTGCTGCTCCTGTGGTCACAATGAGGGCAGCAGGGTAAGATACATGGAGCCCATTAGGCAGTGGTTAGCCTGCGTGCTTAGTGTTGGAGTGGTCCTCGCTCACTGGGACAAGTCCAACCTTTCAGTCTTGTGCCACACTCTGGTCATCTGCGGAGGTCATACTCTAGAACTGTGCATTGAGTTATTGAGTTACCAAAAAAGAAAAAGAAAATCTTGTAATGCTTGAGTAAGCTAGTGGTTTTGTGTTAGGCCAAGTTCAGCACTCTCCTGGACTGCATGTGGCCCTCAGGCTGCAGGCTGAGCATAGCTAGGAGTTAGCAGTTTATCTGTACTGCCGTTAGTCTTGGAGATTAGAGTGTCATAGATTAAGATTTTCTAAGTGCAAGAATACTATAGAGAGTAATGTCCGCTAACTTGGAAGTAAGTTGCACTGAGTAGTATGCTTATCATGCTTCTTTATGCTTGATAAAGAATAAGAGTGGAAAGGTTCCAGTGTAGTTTGCATAGAAGTAAGAGCAGCAGAAAATAGAACTGTAGATACAAACTGTTATAGAAAAGTATCATGTATGAGAGAAAATCCATGGCCCTCCTTGTGGACATTTGATGTACTTATTGAACTGAATTAAATTAATAATTCTGGATTTTTTTTCTTTTTTCTGAGACAGGGTTTTTCTGTGTAACCTTGGCTGTCCTGGAATCCCTCTGTAGACCAGGCTGGCCTCAAAACTCAGAGATCTGCCTGCTTCGGCCTCCCTGAGGGCTGGGATTACAGGCATGTGCAACCTCACCTGGCTGTAATTTTACATCTGAAAGAGTTTAAATGAATATTTTTTTCAAGTGAATATACAAGTAATTAAATAGGTGTTTTAAAGCTGTATGAGGGTGTGATGGCATACACATCTTAATCCCAGTAATTGGGAGGCAAACTCAGTGAGTTTGAGGCAAGCCTGATTGACGTGGTGGTTTCCAGTTCAGGTAGGGCTATATAGAGAGACATTGTCTCAAAACAAGCAAAAAAATGAATAAAAATTTATTAAGGTTAGGAGTGTAGCTTAGTGCACAAGGCCTTGGTTTCTACCCCAGGACTACAGCAAAAACCAAGCTGTATCTAAAAGAGAGAGACTTTTGAGCTAAGCATCTGAGCAAAGAAAGGAAGAGGCAGTTGATGCTATTTAGCCAATATTTTATTCATATTGTAGTTTCTATCCACCATTACATTGGATGCTTGTAAAGATTTACAATATGTCTTGTATGTGTATGGAATGTATATACTGATCAAATACATAATATATGTACACATGTGTGAAGGCCGATGGTTGCTACGAGTCTTTTCATCTCCTTTTTTTTTTTTTTTTCTTTTTTTTTTGGAATCTCACTGAACCTGAAGCTTATTATCAATTTGGCTAGGCTGACTAGCCACTGAGCTTTATAGATCTGCATGTCTCTGCCCTCAACAGGGCTGGGATTTTAGGCTTCTTGATGTGTGTTCTGGGGACCCAAACTCAGGCCTCGTGCCTGTGCAGCAAGCACCAACTGAGCCATCTTCAGCTCCATAAGGGAAGTTTTCATTTTTATCTCATCTTAGTTACCTCTGAAATAAAAAATAAAACAAGAATAAAAAATGTAAATGCCATAAAACATATTTTAAAAAGTTAAATACAAATTTAGATGTCGAAAGAATTTCTAAATTGAATATTGAAGATTTTAGGGAGTAAGGGGTAGGATTTTCCTTAGAGCTTGAGATGAGGAGATAGTCTATGAGTGGAAACTGAAAATGGGAGGATGTATAGACAATGAACATGACTTTAAAAGAAATTTATTGGCATATGTTAATTAAATACACCTATGTAATATATTTTGATTATATTTGCTGAAGTATGGGCAATTTACCAGTGGCTGTGTCATTGAAGGAAATATCTCCCCAAATATCACCTGGTGAGTACCCATAAGCCCTCAGGAAGGGCTGGGATCTCATGAGTTCATCCCTTCTCTTTAATAGGCTCCATCTCATACAGGTCTTGTGAAGGTAATTACAGCTCTTGTGAGTTAAAAGAGCCATGGTCATGGCATGTCATGGCATCCTACCACTCCACTCCATCTTTGGCTCTCAAATTCTTTGGTCTTCTCTTGTGCAGTGCTCCTCCAGCCTTGAATGGGGTGATACAGATGTCCCATTTATTGCTGAGCATTTAAGTCATTATTCTTATCAGTTTGACCAGCTGTGAGTGTGCGTTACCCCTGCCCACAGCCAATAGAAGGTTCTCTGATAACTACAAGTGACAACAGCAGTAGCCTGTGAATATAAACATAATTCTTTAGAAGTCAGTTTAAAAAACACCGTTTCCATTTAGCTCAACAGCAGCAGTAGCTTCTCTTCTGGGGCCTGTGACCTCACGCATTGGGTTTTTGACCGGGTTTACTGTAGCAGGAGATAGCTGTTGAAAAGGCACGGAGACAGGGCGGTTCAGGGTGAGTATGTGCAAGTATAAAGGATCTGATCTAGGTGTCGTAGAATGGCTATGAGGAGAAATGATGAGTGAATATGTGAGGTGTGGTTAAGGAGAGTAGTGTAGTGTATAGCAGGACAGACAGAGCAGAGAGCCCCTGACAGTTAAGGAGACTGTGTGACAACATTGAGGAGGAACGAGAAAGGGAGCAGATGTAGAGGATTACAAGTTCAGAATGTGACCTTGGGGAAAACTTGGAGAAGGCGAAGTATTTTAGGAGGCTTTCAGGCGGTGCTATTAGAACAGGGGATATTTTATAAACGTCAGACCAGTGGGTGAGGAAGTGACAGAGCTAATGCCTTACTCATATGTTCTAAGAAGAGGAAAGTATTTGGAAAAAAAGTACTCATTGGTGCTGGGCTTTAAATTGTTAGGAGGATTGTGGTAGAGATGTAGAAATGACTTATTGGAAAAGATCTAGGTGATGTAAAAGCCAGTACTAATAATTTGGTTGAGACATAATCGAATAGGGAAAACTGTGGCCGAGTGTTCAACAAGGCAAAAGCGACAGTTGCTGGAGTCGTGAGTGGCTGTTATAATCTGTGCCGTTCCCCAGTGCTGTCAGGTTAAGGACTTAGTATTTGTTGGGTGGCTTGCTTTAACTTCTCACACAGATTGTCAGTCATCATATTAGAATAGTGTCAAGAACTCCCTTGGAGGGTAAGATTTGCTGGCCCAGTGAGAGACCATGTCTTTTGTAATTGTTACTACTTTTCTCCCTGGAGAGTGTTGGGATCAGTAGAGCTTCACTGAATTTCCTGTCAGCCGTGCAGCAAAGGAGTTGTGATGCTGGTTCTATAGAGAAGCGCCACGAAGACTGAAAACTGGCCGTGTCCCAGGGATAGTTCTAAGCTAACATATGTTAGCCCATTAGATCCTCACAGCACCCAAATGAGGTACATGTGAGTACTACCCCTATTTGACAGACAAGAAAAACTGACACTCTGTAGAGAGATGAGATGGCTTGGCCAGGGTCACAGTTTGAACCTATGAATCTAACTCAAGGATTAAGGCATTTATTTGCCTTGTTCCTCTATACTTTACTGTTTGGTATACTCTGATTTAGCGCCGTCATTGCTAGGGGAGTTATGCCAGAGTCACGCTAAAGGAGATGGCACAGAAAACACTGAATCTTGGCTTGTACAGCAGCAAAAAATTGTGAAACCTACAGTTGGTTATAGCCCTGCCAGCCTTTAGGCTTCTGCCTTGCTGTTTGCCAGCTGCCTCACAGGGAAAACGTTGTGGCTGTCAGAGACGGAAAAAGAGTTTTCCTGCCCTCTCGTCTCAAGCCCTAAGTGTCTTCCAGGGAGCAAGAAGCTTCAGATCACAAGTCTGTCCATCAGCCACATGTGCTTCATTTTTGTCACATGTTGTAGCTTCCCGAGGACCAGAAGTTTCCACATACAGTTTAGAAGCACCTCAGTCAGCTGAACTCCCAAGTTTGATCCCATGGAATCATCTAATGTAGCCTTTAAGATTGAGAAAGCCATTTGTGAGCGATATGAGGACAGCTTTTCTACACAGAGTCCCAGGAGATGGCTACTGGAAGGGGGCTCAGGAATTGTAGTCTCAAGTTTTGAGTCCCTGTGTCATCTGTGTAGTAGATTCTTCTGGAAATACTCTGGTCTGCATGTGCTAGCAATTCCAGTGTTCTTTGGGGGCTTGTTTTCCAGCAGTACTTTAGACCCCAGTCTAGGTAGGAATTCCTCTGAAGCTAAGACAATTTGTTACCCGCTCTGTGACTTTCATTTAATATAATATATTATTAACAAAGGGACTGAGGGAGGCATTTTCTGTTTCCATTGTTTGTGTGTATATGCATGTTTAGTATGTGCATGTACAGGTGTGGAGGTGTCCTTGCACACACGCAAGGCCAGAAGTTGACATTGGGTATCTTTCGCAATTGTTCTCCACGTTTTGTTTTGTTTGTTTGTTTTCCCACTTCATTTTTTGAGACAGCATCTCTCACTGATTGTTGGAGCTTGGTTTTTCTCTTTTGTCTGGCCAACAAGCTCTAGGAGTCCTCTCGTGTCTGCCCCTGCAGCACCTATCTTTTAATGGGTGCTCTGGTGCGTAAAGCAGGTACTTTGCCAACTAAGCAACCCCTCTGCCACCTTTTGCGTTAGTTTTGTTTTTGACGCAGGGTCTAGAACTGTTGCAGCCATCCTCTCAGCCTCTTAAGTGCTTGAGTCAGCTCTCTCCCGCTCTCTCTCAAAAACTTGAGGCACAATCAGATATAAAAGCACAAAGGTGGTTTTTTTTTTTTTTACCTTTTCAAGGTTGTTTTGTGCCCTCCAGATCTGAGTGTAGAAATCCTTAGATGTCTTATCTCTAAGTAGTAAGTGCTGGGTGCTGCTGTAGACATGGGCATGGGGGCGGGGAAAAAGGTGAGGACCTGAAAATTTCCCCTCAAACCCTGGCCTTAGTGGACACTACTTAGTTAGGATGGAAGGTACCATCCCTTCTCCTTGGTTTCTCTCCTCGGCCTTCTATTAAATTCATCTTCCTGACAGCCCATGAGTCTGTCTGATCTAGTGACATCATGAATGACTTCTCTGTACCTGCACCTATTGGGACAATCCAGAGTTCATTTTGGTTGCACAATACCAATGTGATGATCATATTTACTTGTTTAAAAAAATCTTCAATTAATATAGCTGTTTTTACTTAGCTGAATTATTTTCAGAGGGCAAATAACATGAGTGGAAAACATTCCATTATCTTCTTTCCTTGCATTAATTAGCAGCACTTTTCATGGAAGAGGGAAACTGTCTTGGGAACCCGGAGTCTAAGAAGGTGAAAGCTGCTCCGTTTCATTTTGTAATTAGCACTGAAGCAAGTGGCTGCTTATGTTCTGAGAGTGGCCAGTAGGTTCTAACTCCTTAGGGGGAGGGTTGCAGTCTGGCTTGTGTGGCACGTGGTGTGTCGCCCTGTCAAGCTTGGCAGAGAGGACGCGGATGTTAAGGCACCGACTGGACTAGAGCCGCTTGGCTTAAGCCATATGCTGAACCTGATCTCCTCTGAGGTTCTTTAAGGAGAGCTGGAGAGATACTGAACAGACTTTCTTTTTCAGTTGCAGCTGTGATCCTCGGCTGTCTGCTGGCATTGAAGAGACCTGATGTTTTACGTTATTGGTATGTGATAGAAAGTTCTTTTTCTTGTCTTTTGAGTATTGTTGTCTAGGTCCGTTTGCTCCTTATCTCTCCTCTTTCTTAACTTGTGCCAGAACATACCTTCACACAGTTGGCAGAGAAATTCATTGTCTGTGCCAGGCATTGTTTACTGTAAAGTCCAAATCGACGTGAAAAAGATCTGCCTTTAAGGAGTTCACAACATGAAGGGGGAGGTGGGCAAGTAGGAGGAAATTCATAGATATAAAAGTTCTGAGGGGCTCCCAGAGAAGGAGCCTCTAACTGATAGGCCCTGTGGAAGGCCTTTGCCATGTACACAAGAGAACAAAAGGCTTCCAAATGGAGAGAACCAAAGGCACATTGTTTTGACTGCTTCCATGAGGGGCAGCACAGGCAGGAAGCTAGAGGGGCCGCTGTATAGGGTTCATGGTATAGAACGGGCTCAGCAGGAAAGCAACTAAGGTCCAGATCTGAAAAACATGCAGTCTCATCCCACACACCCAGCTCTGCCAGGGTGGTACACAAGCAGCTATCGACTGTTTAGGACCAGGTGAGCCGATGTCACAGCCTAACTTCATACAGGAGACAGGCAGTGTGTGGGGTTTGTCCTGAGTACTATAGTGACCTACTCCTGGCCTAGAAGTTGCACTTTTTACCTGATAGTGGTTTTTACCTGGTATATTTGGGTTTGGGTTTGGTTGGTGGGTGGGGTGTGTGTGTGTGTGTTTACAATCTTGCAGACTCATCTTGGCTTTCTTTAAGCTTTGTGAGCCATTCTAGGGATGCTGTAATGTGTAACTGGAGGTGGGTTATTTCTCTCTTTTATGTAGGTGGAATCACAGTGTCTGTGGTTGCATTCTTCTTCACAATTAAGTTCCTCTTTGAGCTTGCCGCACGTGTAGTCAGCTTTCTTCAGAATGAAGACCGTGAGCGCCGAGGGGACCGGACCATTTATGACTACGTGCGGGGCAATTACCTGGATCCCCGGTCCTGCAAAGTGTCCTGGGATTGGAAGGACCCCTATGAGGTGGGCCACAGCATGGCCTTCCGAGTGCATGTAAGGGAATGTTTCTGTCTCCATACCCATCATGGTTTCTGAGTCATTTGCTTTCCAGAGACCAGCACTGTCTTGGTGGTACAGGCTGGCGTGTTAACCTTTTCCCTTGTTTTTCAGTCCCTCCCCTCCCAGGGACTTGGGAATTGTTAATATCTGAAGAGCCTTTTTCCTTTCCTTTTGGTTTATTGGGTACATATCTTTGATGAAGTGTAAAGCCTAATAATTTTTCAAACAAGAAAAGCAGTATTGAGGCTGGTTGGAGTTATACTACCATGATGCCAGCACATGGGAGGCAGATGCAAGAGCTCTTTCTGATCAGGAGTTCAAGATCATCTTTGTCTACATAGGGATTTGAAAGCTATCCTATTCTGTTTGGGGATTCGTCCTCCCCCCCGCCCCTCAGAACTTTAATCCCAGCACTCAGGAGTCAGAGGGAGGCAGATCTCCGCGAATTTGGGGCCAGCCTGGTCTACATAATGAGTTCCAGGGCCAGGGCTATATTGTGTGACCTTGTCTCAAAAAAGGGGATGGGGTGAGACAAAAAAAAAAGAGAAGGAAGTGTGGGAGAAAGTATTATAGATCAAGAATTAGTAAATCTAGCCGGAAAGCCCAAATAATTCCAACTTTCTATTCCTGTAAATACTATCTCTTCCTCTTCCTCCTGCTCTTCTTCCTCTTCTATTGTTTTTCGAGACAGGGTTTCTCTAGGTAGCTCCGGCTGTCCTATGTCACAATGTAGACCAGGCTGGCTTCTTAGCCATAGAGATCCACCTACCTCTGACTCCCAAATTGTGGGATTAAAGGTATGCGCCCCAACAACTGCCTGGCATTGTAAGTGCCCTTTAATTGGAACACAGCCACATTCACTTGTCCTTCAGCCACTTTCTCATTTGCATAATTGGGACACTTGTGTATGGTCCAAAGAAACACTTACTTTCTGGCGCTTTACAAAGGAACTTCACTAGGTATCATTAAGTTTACTGTGTGGGCCTGAACCCCTCCACCCTTGCCTGGTGCTACTCTTCTCCCTGGTGCCAGTGCTCCAAGGCATGCTGCTGGCTAACTGCCTTCCCATTTGGGTTAGACTCGATAGCATAATAGTGTTGGGGACACTGAGGAGGTGGCATTCACTGTTCAGAAGCCTCAAGTTCAAATTGACCCACCCTCAGCACGATCAAAGAACTTGTCCATGATTCAATGGTTTTCTTTGCACGTATATGAACTTGCCTCTCACTGTGTTCCTAAGAGCAGAACTGAGAGGAGCAGGCAGGCACTGGGGTGTACCAGTGTGACCCTGGCCAGCTGCTTCCTCTGCCCCACACTGCACACATAGGAAGTGGTTCTCTCCCTTTTTGTACTAATTGGTGCCTGCCCCTCTCTTCCTGTCGCAGTTGTTCTATAAGAATGGACAGCCTTTCCCCGCACATCGGCCCGTGGGACTGCGAGTTCATATCTCTCATGTTGAACTAGCAGTGGAAATTCCAGTGACCCAGGAAGTCCTACAGGAGCCAAATTCCAATGTTGTAAAGGTAGCCTTCACTGTGCGCAAGGCTGGGCGCTACGAGATTACTGTGAAGCTTGGTGGATTAAACGTGGCCTATAGTCCCTACTACAAAATTTTTCAGCCTGGTAGGTTCTTGGTTCATTCTTTGTTTCTCCCATTACTCCACCATCTGGTCTTGTGCTTTCTTGTCTTTTCTAGTAGGGTGTGGTAGGATTCAGGGCCTCATGCTAAGCATGTGCTCTGCCACTGAACAGGACTCTCAGTTCTTCCTTTAAAAAAAAACAAAAAAAAAAAAAAAACACTTCTGTTGAGATTTCACCACAAAAATTTATCAATTTAAAGTTTAATAGGGTTTAAAATGAATTGCTCAGCAGGTATCACCACAGCCAATTTTAGAGGAGTTTATGGCCGGAAGAAACCCCAGACCCATTAGCAACTTTGTTGCCAAACCCCCAACCGCAGCCGCTAGTCTTTGGCTGTGGAGCTCTACCGGTGTAATCATTAAATATGAGGCCTTTTTTTGACTGTTGTTTGACTTAATGTAATGCTTTTCAGGTTCATCTATGTTGTATCATGTGTGGTCCCTTCATTTATTTTACTGGCCAAATAATATGCCATGTATTGTTTGTCTTTTTGTAAGTGGTGGACATCTGGGTTTTTCCCCATGTTACTCTTTGACTAACAAGAGTAAAACTACCTTAAACATTTTTTTGTGTTTAGGTTGTCTGTCTGTCTATCTGTGTATCACCTATCCATCCACCTGTTTGCTTGTTTGTTTGTTTATTGTGGGGAACTTATGCAGGCCACAGTGTGCATGTGGAGGTCAGAGGACAACTTGGAGAGTCAGTTCTTCCCCTCCAGCATATGGGTTCTGGGGTTCACACTCAGGTCAGCGGGCTTGGAGGCAATGTTTTCTTTTCAAATAAGAAAAGTCATATTACTTTTGTGGTCTTTCCGGCATCTGTGTATGGGTCTCTGTGTGGCATGTGTTTGTATTTCTCCAGGAATAGAACTGCTGAATAATCAGTTTGACAGGCTCTTAAGGGCCAAGGATAGCAGAATAGAAAGGAGATACATTTTTCTGATTTTTTTTTAAGCCCTTTTTAAGTAAAAGTACTTTGGCCTAATGCACTGGTACTGTCAATATGTATTTTACTTTGCACTGAAGAGCATTTGTCCATAATTCTTCCCTTTTCATCATCATGCCTTTGGGCCAGATAACAAATGCTCCCTGGCATTGAAGTCTAAACTGTAATATCTGACTCTTGGTTCTACAACATAAATGTTTAGTGTTTTGAGGTCATATCTGTCTGTGCCTTCCTGGCAGTTTTTGAAGATGCCATTAGATACTGTCTAGCTTGGGATCGTTTGTGAAATGATAGGACAGTGGCTAACTTTGGGAGTCAGATCTTAATGACTGAAGTCTTTGCGAGTGTTTGCTTGACTGGTCCCCAGCTCTCTTTCTCTGGTGTGAAGGAAGACTGAACAAGGCATCACTGCATCTGTCAGTCTCCTTTGCCTGAACACCTCACTCAGAGACTGTCCACCTAAAAGGCCACATCCTTCTGGCCACCAACAGAGAACAATCTCTATCCTCACATACCATCCCTATTTTAAGTTAAACTTCTTACTTTGAGAATTATATTCACATGCATGATAAATAAGAGATAGGGTATCCACTTACCTAGTTTTCCAGTGGTAACATCTTTCAGATTGTAGCATAATAGTAATGTAACGCAATATCACAGCTGTATTTCTAACATTCATACAGTTAAGGTACAGAACATGGGGCTGGAGAGAGGGCTCAGCACTTCAGAGCGCTGGCTGCCCTTCCAGAGGACCCAGGTTCAGTTTCCAGCACCCATATGGGGATCCAGCAACCTCTTCTAGCCTCCATGAGCACCAGGCATGCACATGGCACACAAACACACATGCAGGCTAAGCACGAATACATATAAAATGAAAGTAAATTTTAAACGTTTAAAAACAAAAAGACACAAGCTATTTCTGCCATTATACAGCTCCCTCCATTGTGTTCTGTTTTGTAGCTACATTCATCTTTCTTTCCCCACAGGCTTGTTTCTGAATCTCTGGGAGGCCAGCAATCTATTTTCCATTTCTATACTTTCACAAAAACCAGATCCTGTGACCTGTGTCTGCAGTGATCTGTAATTCCAGCACTCAGGAGATAGAGGCAGGAGCACAAGAAGTTCACAGCCTTCCTGGGGTACACAGACACTGTCTCAAACCAGAGTCCCAAACCACATTTTATACTAGGTCATTTGAAGAGTGTTAGAGAAGTAGACTCATGCTGAATAACTCTCAAGACTGGCTGAATTTTCAGGAGATCCATCTATGTTGTCAAAAATATGAGTGGTTGGTTCTCTTTTGTGGGTACAGTTCAATGGTATGAACATCTGTTTAACTGTTCACCCATTGAAGGACATCCTGATTGTTTCCTATTTTTAGCTATTATCAACAAAGCTGCTTTTAACATACATGTACAGCTTTTTTTATGTGAACGAGTGTTCATTTCTCAAGGTAGATGCCCTGAAAGGTAATTGCCAAAGCATTTGATAATTGTACCTTTAGTTTTGTTTTTTTGTTTTTGTTTGTTTTTGTTTTTAAGAAAAAAATTGCTAAGCTCTCCCTGAGTGGCTGTGGCATTTGGATCCCATTTCTTCACATCCTTGCCACTGTAATGTTGTCACTATATTTTATTTTAGCCATTCCAATAAGTGTATGTTTAACTTCCGTTTTCCAGATGCTTAGAGATGATACACATCTTTGCATGTGCTCATCTGACAGCTGTGTACCCTCTTTGGTGGCATACCTTTTCATGATGTTTGTATAGTTTTTACAAACTATACAAATTTTTATATACACACTATATAAATTTTTGGGTTTTCACCGTTGTATTTTGAGAGCCTCTTTTTATAAATCCTATAAACCAGTCCCATGTCAAACACTTAAAGTCTGGCTTTTCTTTTCCTCCCATAGGATCTTCCGCGGTGTAAAACATTTTTTCCTTTCATGATTATGCTTCTGATGTCCAAGATCTCTGGCTAATTCCAGATCCTAAAGGTTTTTCTCCATTTTTTTTTCCTAAAGTTGTATCTTTTTACATTTTACGTTAAACCATGCCCCATTTTTAGTTAATTTTTGTATGTGAGACTGTGTCATGGTTCTTTGATTTTTATTTATGTCTTTTTTTTCTCAAAGCTCTCTGGTTGCCCAGTGGCCATGTGTTGAGAGGGATGTCTTTCCTTCATGGATAGGGCTTTTGCACCTTGATCAAGTATCAGCTGTGTGTGTGTGTGTGTGTGTGTGTGTGTGTGTGTATGCGCGCGCGCGTGCGCGTGTGGTGCCCTTCTGGGGTTCTGGACTGTAACGTTGGTTGATGCGTCTGCTCCCACTTAGCACCAGCGCCCTGACTATCTGTCGTATTATGTGCACTGGTTCTTCTCCATTTATTCTTTTTCAAAATTGCCTTAGCTAATTCCGGTTCATTTTCCTTTCTATAAAGATTTTGGTGTAATGTGTAATTTTAGCAGCATTTTTCTAAGATTTTAGTAAGAACTGTGCTCAACCTGTATTTCAGTGTGGACAAGTTGGCATTTGCTCTGTGTTGAATCTTCCTGTTCACAAGCATGATATATTTTGTGTATTTGGATGTCGTTACACGAGGGACAGAACTAATTAGACAGTGAATTAAAAAAGGAGGATGTGAAGTTGGGATGAGCATGCGATGGGTGGGGATAGTTGGGCGGGCATGAGTGGACATGATCAAAATGTATTGTATACATGCATGAGATTTTTAAAGAATAAATTCTAGGTTTTAAAAATCAGTTTTTCTTTGTCTACAGCATTAATAATGCTCAACATACAGGTCTTATATGTATTTTGTTATATTTGTACTGCTTTCATGCCCTATAGTTTTGTTTTTGCCATTTTCAGTGTTTATTTTTTATTGATTATTTGTGTGTGAAGGGCACTTACAAATGGCAGGTGTGCACATAGAGATTAGAGGACACCTTTGTGGAATTTTTTTTCTCTCCTTCCACCTTTCATGTGTTCTGGGAATCAAGCTTAGGTCACCATGCTTGCTCAGCATGTACTTCACGTGCTGAGCCGTCTCACTGATCCTTGGCTTTTCTTTTTCTTTCTTTTTTTTTTAAAACAGGGTTTTTCTATGTAGCCCTTGCTGTCCTGGAACTTGCTCTGTAGACCAGGCTGGCCTTGAACTCACAAAGATCTGCCTGCTTCTGCCTCTCAAGTGCTAGGATTAAGGGTGTGTGCCCCCATGCCTGGCTTGAGCAGTCACTTTAAAGTCCACCTCAAAGGTTCCCTGAGAGATTTTAGCACTGGGTTTGTGTTTTTCAGTTCTGTCTCTGTCAGATTTTTTTTCTCATCTTGTTTGGTGTACAAAGTAGTTAAAAATAACAAGAAAACCAAAATTACTCCTCAAAGCAACAACAAAACCAAGTCCCCACAGTTCATTTCTATGACTCTGTTTCTCTCTTGGGCTTCATTGTCTGTTTCAGGAATGGTGGTTCCTTCCAAAACCAAAATTGTGTGCCATTTTTCTACTCTTGTGCTGACCTGTGGGCAGCCACACACCCTGCAGATCGTGCCCCGTGATGAGTATGACAACCCAACCAACAATTCCACGTCCCTGAGAGATGAGCACAACTACAGCGTGTCCATCCACGAGGTCGGTAACTTCTCTGTCCATCTCCAAGATAGTTAGGCTCGCTCCTCTGTTATCCTCACTGCCAGCTCTTCTCCCCTGAGCTCTCATGTCTTTATTGCCTGTCCCGTTAACAAGTGTAAGGCATAGCTTGAAGGCGCAGTAGGAAAGCTCTTTGTGAAGCAGAAAGTGGAGTTGGGGTGAGCTTGTGGTGGGGATGGGTCGGGTGGACATGAATGGATTTGATCAAAATGTATGCATGCATGAGATTCTTTTTTTTTTTTAATGAAATAGTGACTTTTTAATGAAGTGAAATGGGAATAAAAATTAGAACTTGGAATAAATTATTCCATTCTTATTTTGCTGTGAAAACAAATGAAGAATTCAATAATATACCTGTGTTCACTTTGATTAGATGGGAAATTATGGCTTCCATAAGTCTGTAATGGAACAATAGGAAGGCTGTAGTTGTCACTTCAGTTTTAATCAGTACATGGAGTCTTCATGTGTCATTGTAATTTTTGTTTTATCTTTGTGGATATCTGCAGAATTAGTTTGTCAAGCAGGTCAGTTTTAAGAACATATGTGTATATGGTTTTTATTAAGCAGTACTAAATGGTTGATGCAAACTGGTTGAAGGATTTTGAATACTGATATCTATGTAGCTCCTAGTCTTAAATAAGCATAAAATATTAACAATAGGTATTGGTACTTGATATTTAGTTCCACTTACTTTACCTTTGTACTTATTTCTTAAAAAAAAAAAAAAAAAAAAAAAAAAAAAACTAAATAGTGTAGATACCAGAAGACCCCTTTTAATAGATGGGACATTCATGGTCACTGATTAATGTCACTGAAATTTTATAGTTATAATCAGTGAAGGCCCTAGAATTTGAGCCCAATTAGTGTGGTGCTTGTTTCTGTACATCTAATCACCAATGCATGAGATTCTTCAAGAATAAATTCTATGTGTTAAAAATCAGTTTTTCCTTGTTCGCAGCATTAATAGTGCTCAACATACAGGTCTTATATGTATTTTGTTAGAGTTGTACCTTTTTCATGCATGTGATGTCACACTTTGCATCCTTGCATTCAGCTTGGCCCTGAAGAAGAAGATAATGAGGAAGTCTCATTTGAGAAGTCAGTGACATCCAACAGGCAAACATGCCAGGTGTTCTTGAGGCTCACCCTGCATTCTCGAGGTTGCTTCCATGCCTGCATTTTATACCAGAATCAACCCATCAATAATGGCGAATTTGACATTATCGTCCTTAGTGGTGAGTTGGTCCTTCCCCATCCATTTCCTCCCTGTATATCTGTTCTCCAACCCACCTCACAGACATTTGATTTTTGAGTCATATTTATCTTACTGCCCCGTAATTCACTAAATGACCATCAGTAGGTAAGTTTGCCCTCCCCGATCCCTGTTTCCAACTCTACTCCTTGTACTTCAGAGAATGAAAGGAACATCGTTGAACGCAATGTATCCACCTCAGGAGTGAGCATTTACTTCGAGGCATACCTCTATAACACTAACAACTGTGCCAGCACCCCATGGCATCTTCCCCCCATGCACATGAGCTCGTCTCAGCGCCGGCCCTCCACTGCTATTGAGGAAGATGATGAAGACTCGCCCTCCGAGTGCCACACCCCTGAGAAGGTGAAGAAGCCGAAGAAGGTGTACTGCTACGTGTCACCAAAGGTTGGAGCTTCCGTTCTTGCCTTCAAACCCCCCACCCGATTCCGTATGTGACTAGCAGTTAGTAACAGAAGCCGTAAAGTGGCAGTCTGAATGGCAGTAGGGCAGGGTCATCTCCTTGTAGGATTTCTGCGACACTAAGCGAGGCTTCCTGGCATGGAACAGAAGGTCACCACCTCTGCTGCTACAGGGTCTGCTTTGTACAAGGGCAGATCTCCACCATAGCCTCTGAGTCTCTTGGAACTGTTGAGGGCCTGAGAGTGCCGGGGAAGATTTCCTGAGGTGCAGCTCTCAGCATGGTAAAGAGGGCCACTGACCACTCAGAAGTCCTCATAGGGTAAAAGTCACTGTGCTGTATTGAAACAATTTGACCTTGCATTCTGTGAAATTGTGAAGCCACGTCAAATGTTTGTCACTGCCAGGCTTCAAGACAGATGAAGAAATTCTGGCAGTGACAGGAAGGTGAATTTCCCAAGCCCTGAGCTCAGAGGAACCTTCTTAGGGGCTTTCTTTTGACTGTTTGGGTTTTCCTCTTCATCCAGTCCTCACACAAATAAGACTATTAGAATAGCGTATTACATCCTTTAATCTCACAATCAGTAATTTGAATGGCTTGTATTTTCTAATGTTCTTCTGTATGCCATATTTGTTTACAAATCTAGCTTTCACATGGAGTAGAAGGGGTGGCAGTGAGATAATAAGTGGGGTGAAGCTCGTGGAGGATCTACACTGAATTAATTATTGTTAAAACTGGCAAACCATTTTCTCTTTTTAGTGTTGTTGGAAGTTTTCGTTAATGAAAACTGGTCTTTAAATCATGGGGGAAATGTAGAGGATGGGGATGTATTTCAAGTTAGATCATGCCTATAGCCTGTGAGGGACAGTCCAAGCACTGAAAAGAGGGAAAATGTATTATACATTAACATAACTGGTTTAAAAACAAACCAATCTTGCGTTATCTTCTCCTCCTTTATAAATGGCATAAGAAGAGCCTTCCTTGACCTCATGATTAGGTGTTCAGATGAACTGTTGTGTGGGGTCCTACTGTGTTTCCCACCAGTCTTCTCACACAGGTATCCACTTCCTGTCTCCTGTCTCCTGTCTTCCTGTCTCCTCTCCATGCCAAGTCCTTAGGACCGCTCAAATAGGAGGAAAGAGCCAGGCATGGTGGCTCACACCTATGCTCTCAGCACTCAGAAAGCTGAAGCAAGGTCACTGTGGCATCAAGGACAGCCTGGGCTGCTTAGTGAGTCCCAACATAGCCTGGGCTAGGGAGTAAAACCATGTCTCAGCCTAAACCAACAATGGGAAGTAGGTGGGCGCCATGGGGATGGCTGTTGTTGGTCCTGTGTGTGGGCTTGGGAAGTCACTGAGCAGCAGGTGGGGCAGGGGCTCCTGGTTGTTCCAGGTGAAGTGTTTTATGCTCATAAAGACCTAATTCCAGACGTTCCACAGAAAGTGCGTTGAGGTGGCGACTTGGGGCCTGTGAAATGGCAGTGTCAGGCAGCGGCTTTACCTTGCCTTCCACGGATATAGTTACTCTAGTACCGACTAAATTATCCTTTGTTATTAGGAAAAATAGACAAGACTCTGCTGTTTGCATTGTAATACCCAGGCAGGGCACTCTTATTTATCACTCACTCCATTTTCTGTGTCGGCCCCAGCAATTCTCCGTGAAGGAATTCTACCTGAAAATCATCCCCTGGCGCCTCTACACCTTCCGAGTGTGCCCTGGAACAAAGGTAAGTTGACCTTTAGGTCTGCCTTGTGCTGAACAGGCCTGAGCTTTGGGGTGGTCAGTCTTTTCTTTTTTCTCTTGAGGACTTTCAGTGTCTCTGAACATTCTCCCTCTGTGTACACTCACTTCCAAAGAAAAGTTGTCTCCTCATTAAATGCCACAAACATAGAACTCGTTTTTTTAACTTTTATTAATTACACTTTATTCACTTTGTATCCCCCCACAACCCTGCCTCCTCCCCTGAACATAGAACTCTTAACAAGGAGTGTGCTAATGACACTGGATACTTTACCCGTGTCTTTGGCTTCAGCACCACTGTGAAAGGATGTCGGTTACTGTGCCCACGCATGGTCCCCTGTGTGCTGAAGCTGGTTCTATCAAATAGGATGCTCTCAGACATTAAAGCATGTGTCTTTTTCGGTTTTGTTGTTAATTGCTCTGGGCCCAAAGCCCAGCTCTAAGCTGGGTATGTTGTTTATAAGATGGCTGTCTCCAGGCAGCCTGCAGCGTGCTTAGTGTGGAGCTGCTTACTGTGCCGCTGCTCATACTCCCTTCTGTGTTATGTTGGAAGGCCTGCAGTGTTGGTCCTTACTTCCGGGCAGTGTCTCTGACTCAAATAATTTCAGCAAAAACTTGAAGAGGGACCAAGAAAGATGGCTCAGTGGGTGAAAGTACTTGTCAGTTTAACCTGACCACCTGAGTTGAGTGATGCCCAGAACCCATATAAAAAGCCATATGTGGTGGCACATAATCCCAGCACTCAGGAGGCGCAGACAAGAGAATCGCTTAGAAGCTCAAGGGCAAAATGGCCTGGAGTGTTAGCGAGGCAGAACCAACGCCTGAAGACTATACATATGTACAGAGCATGGGCACACACAGTAAAAACAAGAACAAGAAGACAAGCAGAAAACTCTAAATAGCAGAACACTGAGATAGGGCTGGTGAGACGGCTCAGCAGCTAAAAGCGCCAGTCAAGCCTAGCGACCAGAGTTCAGGCCTCCAGACTCGTGTGTGCTTGCGTGTGTGCGCATAAGTACCAAATAAATGTGTAAGATATACAAGGGGTATACTCTGGAGATACTTATTGGAAAAAACAGGATTGCCTTGTTTTTGTTGTTTGTGTAGCAGAGTAGGCATGTGAAAGGCTTTGCTGGGATCAAGGGGTTTACAGCTTAAATTAACCACTTTCTAAATTGTCTTTGCTAGTTTTCATACCTTGGCCCTGACCCTATCCATAAACTCCTCACGCTGGTGGTGGATGATGGCATCCAGCCTCCTGTGGAGCTCAGCTGCAAGGAAAGGAACATTCTAGCAGCCACTTTCATCCGTTCCCTGCACAAGAACATCGGTAAGGGTGGGGAAGGCATCGAAGCGTGAGGGTGTGGGGCTGCAGAGCGTGCTCTGAGACCAAGTCCTAGCGAACCTTGCTGCTTCCCAGGAGGCTCCGAAACCTTTCAAGACAAGGTCAACTTTTTCCAGCGAGAGCTTCGGCAGGTACACATGAAGAGACCTCATTCCAAAGTCACCCTGAAGGTCAGCAGACATGCCTTGTTGGAATCGGTAGGTAACGATTCATCTTTATATGCAAGTTCTCCAGCTAAGGACTTCTTCAATATTTGCGTATATCCTGCAGTGTATCCTCTTTCTTTCTTTCTCTCATTTTCTTTCTTTCTCCTCTTTTTTTTTTTGAGAAAGGGTTTTTCTGGCAGCCCTGGCTGCCCTAGAACTCTCTTTGTAGACCAGGTTGACCTCAAACTCACAGAGATCCAGCTGCCTCTGCCTCCTGAGTGCTGGGATTACAGGTGTGCACTACCATGCTGGACTTTTTTTTTTTTTTAACATAAATTTCTCCTTTTAAACATACTAGAGACTATTTGTTCTTTTCATTGTATATACTTTTGTTATTTTGGGTTGGGGCCACTGTGTTAGAGGCATGCAGCTGAGAGGAAACTCACGACACATCAGCTTTCTGGTCTTTGCTAATGCAGTTCCTGGACAGTCTTCAGCGTAGGGGGTGGAGGCAGTGGTTGGAGAAGCAGTCTGTGAGTACAGCCCCTGGGTAGAAGCTTCTTCTGGATTAGAAGGAAGTAATTCTTGTTGTCACTCGGGTCTGATAGAAATGGAACACCTGATGAGTGTCTGTCTCCACCACACAGACACTGGCATGGGTCTGACATTCCCTAAGAGTGAGAAGCTTGGTGCCTGTCCAGAAAGTGTTTGTGGTGTTTGGCTCTGGTAGGAGTGACTGGAAACCCCCTTTCTCAGCCACACTCCCCATGTGGCATGGCTCTCTGTGTGGCTTTGCCGAGGCAAGAAAGATGTCTAGTGCATATTTTGTACTTTACTGAAAACTGAGACTCCCTAGCTCTTTTGTTTACAGCTTCTTACTTGAATCTTAAAAACACAAAAACTTTTCGATAAGAGGTTTTTCATTAATAAAATGAAGTTTCTAAAAAAATAAAAAGAAAGAAAGAAAAAAAGAAACAATCTTAACTTTTAAGTTCCAAATCTGATTTCAAATTAGATGGTTTTTTTTCTTTGTTTGTTTGTTCGTTCTCTAGTGAGATGTTGTCACAGTGTAGACCAGGCTTTGAACTTGTAGTCCTCCTGCTTCAGCCTCATGTTGGCTGGGATCATGGGGATTTGCTACTCTGCTTAGATTGTTTTTTTTCTTCTTTAGATTTTTATTGATTGTTTATGAATTTCACATCTTGTATCCCAGTCCCACTCAACAACTCATCCCATCATACCTAATTTCTGCCCTTGCACTCTCCTCTCTCTCCCCCCAAAAAAAATCTCATTGTAGAAGCTGTAGTGTGTCACAGCGTGTTCCACAGTATACGCTTTTGTCCACACTGTTTGTTGCAGTTAGTCATTGGTCTGGTTCGAGGCCCTCTAGCTTCTGCTACACTATCAACACTGGAAACTCACCGGATGCTTCTTGAATATCCTGTTGTTGCCCTGTGTCATGGAGATCCTGCAGCTTTGGATCTGTAGGACCGGCCCTTTCACACACTTCAGCAGATCATAAATGTGGTAGATGTTGGGGTGGGCCACTTAGCCCTGGATCTGGGCCTGAGTGGTAGCTGAGCTAGTCAGTCCATGAGCTCTCCCACACCCACACCACCAGGGCGAGCTCTCTAACACTGCCCCAGCTAGCTCACCCAATGCTGCAGCCAGCAAAGGGCAGAGACAGTGCCTCCTCTCTCATGCCCTCGGGGCCAGCTCACCCACACCCATGCCTGTAGGGCCAGCTCTACTTTGCTGCCAAGGAAGTGCAGGGCCCACTCTCCTGAGTGCTGCCACCAGTGAGGGGCAGGGACAGCTCTCCCACACTCACACCCTTGGGGCCAACTAAACTGCGATACCCTCCCCACCCCCTCAACCAGGGCCAGCTCTACTATGCTTCCTGGGAGAAGTGTGTAGGGCCTGCTCTTCAGAGTGCTGCAGCTGCTGAATGACAGGGCCAGTTCTGCTTTCACGCATCAGGGCCAGCTCTCCCATGAAGCCCAGGTGAGCGGTGGGGCCATCTCTGCACAACCCTCAGACGTCAGCAGGCCTCGGGAGGCAGCCCAGACCAGGGACATCTGCCTAGCCTTTGGTAGTCACATGCTCCCTCTGCTGCAGGGCCACAGACGCAGACATAGCCCTGGAGGCAGCAGGGGCCAGAACCTCATCGGACCTTGTGTGGCATCGCCAGCTACTCCCATTAGGCTGACTCACTAGCCTTAAGTCGGCAGTTCCACCTCTCTTCATTGTGCAGACATCTTTCTGCTTCTCTTTCTCTTCCATCTATCTACCACTTGCTTATTTTAGCAGTACTCTTGGCCTCTGGGGGTCTTCCCAGGAGTGCTATGCCGGGACCATGCCATGTGGCACTGGGCAAGGATGATTTTCGGGATGCTCTACCCACCTGAGCTTCATGGCACCAGGTTGGGGTCATCTGGGACGTGGTCTGCCACTATTTCTTCTAAATATTGGATTTCTCCTGGAGAGCTGTGTATTCGAATATAAGATAACATCACTGATGTTTACTTGTGTGCCATATATATCACTTCCATGTGGCGGTAGCTCAGTGGACAGTGTTTATGCTCTTGGGTCTTTCTTTAAGAGCTGATGGTGCCAGCCAGTGTTCTGACAGCTTTCTTCCTCTCTCCGCTCTTTAGTCTTTGAAGGCCACTCGGAACTTTTCCATCTCAGACTGGAGCAAGAACTTTGAAGTGGTTTTCCAGGATGAAGAAGGTAGCTTTTGAAGTTTCCTTTTATCATGTTAACTCTCCTTCCTACTCCCACACTCCAAAAACCCAAACCATCCTCCTCAACCTCCCCAAAAGACCCAGTCTCTGTGAGTCAGGAATCTGGCTGGATGGCATGGTGGAGAACAGAGACATGGGGGTGAGCTCTTAGTGCTCACACCAGGAGGACAAGATGGCCACTGCAGACCAGGAGTGTCCATTTCCTGGGCTCTCCGAGCTCCTGTGTTTCTGTTAGCTTAGTGATCAGAATGCCTTGGATTCCTCAGAAAGAAGTGGGATTTCAAAAAGTGTCAGTGAAGAAAAAGGTAGTGAATTGAAGGAGTAGGAGAGTGTTAAGTGATAACTAAGGGGAAAATGTAATAGGGGGTAGGGTAAGCCAGCATCACTTTTAATTTTCTTTATACTTTTTTTTTTTTTTTCAGCTTTGGATTGGGGAGGGCCTCGCCGGGAATGGTTTGAGCTAATCTGCAAAGCACTGTTTGATACCACCAGTCAGCTCTTCACCCGGTTCAGTGACAACAACCAAGCGCTAGTGAGTCTTGCCCTCCCCAATGGAGGGGGGAGAGGGTGAAGATTAAACTGAATACCGAGGTTCACCCAGCTGACCTGGGAGTCTAGACAACTTGTGTTTTGCTGTTAATGTGCTGTTTGTAATGAGCTAATCAAGTTGCCTCCCTTTTATTTGGCTCCATGATTTCATTTGTAAAATAGGGGAAAAAATAGATAGTTGAGTATTTGGCTAACAGTGTTATACTGTAATGGCTACTTTACTCACTTTTAATAATAAATACTTCTAAGGAAGAAAGCCCAAAGCAGTTTGTTTCTGTCCTGGATCTTTGACTAGAAAGAAGTCATGAGTGGCTTTTCGAAAGGTGGCTTTCACGTCTGTGGATGACACCCCCAGTAGAGTACTTATGTTGCCTTTGCTATTTCTGGTTGAACCAACAAAGTCTGAACCCTAAAAAAAAAAAAGAAGTTATGAGTGGAGTACCTGCCTATTTGGAGAAAGTTCTCGTTTAGAACCGACATTATATCACCTGTACCCAGATCATCTAGGACCACAAACTGATCTAAGGTTCTTTAGTGGCCATTGTCCTCCAGTCAGTTTAAATTACTCATGTGTCTGCTCTGTGATCCTTAAACTGAAATTCCCTTGTTATGGGGTCTGAGTCAGCTTTTGGTTACTATAATAAATGCCCAAGACAGTCAGCTTATAAAGAGAACATGTTACCTCACCATAGAATTTTTTGGAGGCTTCAGTGCATGGCTGGTTGGCCCTGTTGCTTTTGGGTGTGTGGTGAGGCAGCACATCATAGTGGCAGAGTATGGCAAGGTCATTCACCTCAGGGCTGGGGCACAAAAGGAGACCAAGAGACCAGACAGTTCTCTTCCAGGGCACCCCTCAGTATCCTGAGCCCCAGCAATGGCTCTCTGGGCTAGGGCCCAAAATTTTTAAATGTATGAACCTTTTGAAGACATTCCAGGTCCAAACTGTAGTACATAGGACTGGGGGTCTTTCCAGAACTAGCTAGAAAATTGGTCAAAGGCCCTTCCATCTCTTTCTTTGACAGGTGCATCCTAACCCTAATCGCCCAGCTCACCTGCGCTTGAAGATGTATGAGTTTGCAGGGCGGCTGGTGGGCAAGTGTTTGTATGAATCCTCTCTAGGAGGAGCCTACAAGCAATTGGTCCGTGCCCGTTTCACTCGGTCTTTCCTGGCCCAAATCATAGGACTCCGTATGCATTACAAGGTACATCTTAGGTGTGCATTTCCACTAACCAGTCTGGCCAGTGGCTCTAAGATCTTTTCACACAAGCTGATTTTTTTCCGTATCTGTCTATCCATCTGTCTGTCTGTCTTATCTATTTGTAGATTTATTTTTATTCTGCATTATGTGTGTTCTGCCTGCATATATGTACATGCACCAGATGCATAACTGGTGCCCACAGAGTCAGAGGAGGGCATCAGAGCCTCTGGAACTGGAGTTAGAGATGGTTGTGAGCTTCCACATTGGTGCTGGGAACTGAACCCAGGTCCTCTGGAAGAGCAGCCAATGTTCTTAACCTCTGAGCCATCTCTCCAGCCCCCAAGCTGATTGTTTTTAAGGTTGAAGATGTAAGTGGTGTTAAGCACTTAAAATTTATTCATGGCAAGGAGTGTTTATGTGCTTCGGTATCTTCCTTTCTCCTCAGTACTTTGAAACAGATGATCCAGAATTCTATAAGTCCAAAGTGTGCTTTATCCTCAACAACGACATGAGTGAGATGGAGCTGGTCTTTGCAGAAGAGAAATATAACAAATCAGGTCAACTGGATAAGGTGAGAAAGAAGACCAGGATGTATGGGTCCCTGCCCCCCCGCCCCCCGCCCCCCGCAGGCACCTCTAAAGCAGCACCAGTAGGACTTTCTGCAGTGAAGGGAAGACCCTACAAAGGACTGAATGATGACGCAAGTGTCATTGCACAGGCTGGTCTGGGAGGGACAGCTGTGTCAGTGACCAGCAGTTGTGATGCAGGTCTCTGATTCTTAGTTTAACACAGTGCCTGGACATATTAAAACCCTTTTCGTTGCTTAGTTTTGTTTTGGTTTGGTTTGGTTTGATTTGGTTTGGTTTTGTATGGCGACAGGGTCTCACTGTGTAGCTTGGGCCATCCTGGAATTTGGTATGTAGACCATGCTGGCTTTGAACTCACAGGGATCCACAGCCTCTGCCTCCTGAGTGCTGAGATCACTGGCCAGATAAGTATTTGTAGCAAATGTGCTTTTGTTACATTGTGGAATTATGCAATATCAGATGATAATAATGAAGCTACTCAGTGATAATACATAATTAATCCTCATTAGGTAAGGTAGTGTCACTATAAAACTAGTTAACAATACTCAATTAAGAGGGAAGTAGCAATGACTGAAAAGACGTGGCAGCTGGGCATGGTGGCACAAGCCTTTAATCCCAGCACTTGGGTTGCAGAGGTAGCAGACCTCTGAGTTTAAGGCCAGCCTGGTCTACATAGAGAGACCCTGTCTCAAAAGAACAAAACTAAATGCTCTACTGAAAAGCGATAGGAATGCCTGTTTTCTATCTTTGTGCTCGTGAAGTCTGTACCTAGCTTCCTGGGCTGGCATAAGAAAGTGGCTAGTGAACAGAGCGGTGGGTTACAGTCCTTGGCCCTAGTGACAGCGTGGGTTGTTCACCAGTAGGAGCCTCGGTAGATTAAGACATTAGAACTTTTTTCCCTTTAATTATGGATATTATATTAGAAATAGTATATAGTATATGATAATATATAATGTATGTAATATATGTTATATATTATTATATTATATATTACTGCTATAATTTGGTGTATTTGTTTTTGAATAAGCATTTCTAGCTGTGGCCAAAGAAATGTTACTAAGATTTGTTGTTCACATCAGTGCAATTAAAATGTTGTTATTAGGACCTTAAAATCTGATCTCGGAGCTAATGGAGGGGGTCATTCACTTCTGGAGACAACTCTGGTTTCCATACACAGACTCTCCAGGGTAACTGTTTTAGCTGCTCACGTCTTCCCTGAATGCCTCTCAGTAGTTGTTTATTGGAGGGTGTGTGTCTGTGTGTGTGTGCGCACGGGTACACACAGCTGTGTGTGTACTAATTCTGTCTGTGACTCGGGAAGCTTGCTCAGCTTTTCTTTGCAGACAGACAAATTGAAGAACACATAGTTACCAGAGTGAAGTTGTATAGCCGGTTAGTATCGGGGCTGGAGTTTTGGATGCCACATCTCCAAGTCTCAAGCCGTTGTTCTTTCCATTGTGTACTTGGAGGATAGAAGAATGTGTGGGAACAACTGTTTCCACCCTCGAACTTCAGAGTTACGAAAAAGCTTCTTTGAGAAAAGGTCATCAGTGGTTTCATTGTAGGAGATGGATTAAAATATACCCAGAGACTGTGGTATCTTCCTGTTGCCTCACCACTGCTCCACTGCATGGGAGAAGACCTCACTTAGCACCCACCTTGGAGATCATAGCTAGTAGAGTTACAGAAGCTTGAGCCCCGATGGTTGGTAAGGAAAGGTAAAAGCAGGTGTGTTAGAGAACCAAGTGCAGATTAGAAACTTAAGGCTGACGCTGAGGGAGTCCAGTTATGTGGCCTGTGGAACATTCCAGGCTGATACGTCGTACAGTCTTCTATCCACAACCTCTTCTTGTCTTGTCTTTTGCCTCCTGTTTCAGATTGTAGAACTCATGACAGGTGGAGCTCAAACCCCAGTCACCAATGCAAATAAAATCTTCTATTTAAACTTGCTAGCCCAGTATCGGCTGGCCAGTCAAGTGAAAGAGGAGGTGGAACATTTCCTAAAAGGTGGGCTCCTGTCTCCTTGTGCTCAAGATGTCTGTGTCGTAGTTGCGGGTATGGCTCTAACTTGGATACTTTCATTTCAGGCCTAAATGAGTTGGTTCCTGAGAACCTTTTGGCGATTTTTGATGAGAATGAGCTTGAGGTAAGTGCTTAGGATTTGACACTATTTTGTTCTGTGTTGCTTTTCATTAACGTGTGGAGGAGCGCACCAGTGCTGTGTCACACATGTGGGTCTACAGGCCACTTGTAGACTTCATTCTCTCCTTCCAACACATGAGTTTCCCAACTGGACATAAGTGGTCACGCTTGGTCAGTAGCAAATGACTTTACCTTCAAAGCATCTCAGCAGCCCCAAGACTGCTGTTCTTGAGAGCATGCCTTACGGACTCCTGCCTGCTGTACCTTCTTTAGAGGTGTGGCAGGAAGGCCCTTTTTTGAGGGGGGGTGGGGTGAGAGGATTGAGACAGAGACTCACTATGTAGCTGGAAAGTCTTTTTTACTATACAGGAGTTGGGTTCACTTTTTACATTTTTAAATTTTATTTTGTGTTTGAGTGTTATGCCTGCATGCATGTGTATGTACCATGTGTGTGCCTGGTGCCTGCAGAAGCCAAAAGAGGGTGCTGGATCCCCTGGAACTTGAGTTATAGACAGTTGTAAGCTGCCATGTCAATGCTGGGAATTGAATCCAGGACCTCTGGAAGAACAGCAGTGAGCAGTCTCTCCATCCCTGGATTAACTTGTTACTCTTCTATTCAGTGACCCTTTCTTCGGTTCTCAAAAATTAGAAATGTTGAAAGACAGAAAGTGGCAAGTACTTATGAAAAATGATAGTTATTATTTATCAGTTATTATTGGTATTAATTGACTTGTAAGGAATGTTGGCACAAGTGCAGTCTTCATGATGTCCTATGACATTTTAGGAGATTATACAATGTGTTTGTTTAGGTATATGTGAACTATGAATTGTGTGCTGAGATACCACAGAAACTGCAATGAGGAAGACAAAGTTCCTATGGGCTATATGCGAGTGAAAGAAAACCCACAATGGGATTATATTTAAAATCATGTCTGTGTTTACATATCTATAGTATCAGAGGATGTGTGAATGTGTGTGTGTTTACATATTTATCATAACTTAATATTTCACATTTTGTATCAACCAAGAGTTAGCTGTAAGATGGTAAATACCATTTTTATAGTTAGCTGAATGAAAGTTCTTTATGAGTCAAGAACAAAACAGTCAGTTTGTCTTCACTTGCTGCTCCTCACAGATGATCCGTACAGTAAACATTACAATCTTTAACTTCCCATAGCTTTCCCAAGGAGTTTGTTTCTGAGAATTGTTCCCTGTTAGAAACAGCACTCAGGAGGCAGAGGCAGGCAGATCTCTTAGTTCAACCTCAGCCTGGCCTGCAGAGGGAGTTCTAGAACAGCCAAGGCTACACAGAGAAAACCTGTCTTGAAAAAGAAAAACAAAACAACAAAAAAGAAATCCTTTAAAAATTTATAAGAAAAAAAATTAGTATCAGGTGATGTTGTGGACTTATTCTTGTTAGCTGAACTGTCTTAGAGAACAGTCAACGCCTTCTGAATTTTATCGATTCTTGTGCCTTGAGATATAAAATCTAAACAATGAATCCTCAGTCTAAAACTTGTAGTAAAACCTCTTACCTAGTGCTAGTATTTTGGAGCACTGGAGTATTTTGTTTTCATCTGAGCATTTCTAACAACATATAAAAGTCAGTGGAAAGGAAAGTTCGTTTCTTACACTTCCTCCTAGTTACTCATTAACTTGGCATGGACTTGAAGAAACCACGTCTTCTGGGGCTTAGTTTGAGCTTTTTTGTCTCTTTATTAAGAGGTATCATTCCTTATAGCTATTGGATGGGTACTCCTAGTCTACTAAGTAACATGTTGGATCTTGAACCAAATTAGGACATCAGCAAGATATTTAGGGCTTATGTCATTAATGTTCTCTCTCCCTTTTTCTTTTTGCTTGGCATGCCTTTTAGTTTGTCTGTTCAAGTGGAAGCAGAGCTGAAGGGAAGTAGTAAAAGTTCAATCCACAAAAGGAAGACAGACCTGAGATACAGCACTCATAAATGGGGCTTTTCTCCTTGGCGCTTTTCCGCTGTCTAGAACATATAGTTGGTTCTTTTGTTTCTCTAATTTTGTTCTTTAATTACAAAGAGTCCGTAGCAGTTCTGAATTAGGCACACTCACCGGAAACACCTAGGAAAACTTTTCAGCTACATAAGCTTATGATCCAGCTTTGGAGATTCTGATGCACTGATTTTATTCTGCATTCCCATGTCAGTAGGTAACTGACTAAATTAGTGTGACTTTGTCCTTCTGTCTGTCTAGCTGCTGATGTGTGGCACTGGAGACATCAGTGTGGCTGACTTCAAAGCCCATGCTGTGGTGGTTGGTGGATCCTGGCATTTCAGAGAAAAGGTAAGGGGCTAAAGTTTCTACAGTCTGATTGGTATCATCTTGTGTGGAATAGTTTTAGAAGGAAAAAAAGAGGAGTCAGAGAAGTTGACATGTTGACTGGCAAAAAGATGATAGATATAGGGGAAACAGGTGGTTCTCCAAGCTGAGAGGAGCTCAGGTCCCTAAAGGCTGTTACCTTGACCCCACCACTGGGCAGTACGCTGGAAATGCAAGTAAAGGGAGCCAAGCAATCAATTGGCGATTACCCTCGGAGCCAGCGACAACGTAAATTCTTGCAGAGGTTGTTATTCGTGCCTCACAGAACTGTAAATGGGAGCATATGCCTACCCAGAGTATCCTGTTCCTTCCTTAGGGATCCAGCCTTAGACTGCACACCACGTGTGACCAAAGCCTTGTGTTTTCCTGCCAGGTCATGAGGTGGTTTTGGACTGTGGTTTCCAGTCTGACCCAGGAGGAGTTGGCCCGGCTGCTTCAGTTCACAACAGGCTCCTCTCAGCTCCCACCCGGAGGCTTTGCCGCCCTCTGTCCCTCATTTCAGATTATTGCTGCTCCGACCCACAGCACGCTCCCTACTGCACACACATGGTAGGTGCCTGGCTGCCCAAAGCATCTCCTGTGGGAGGGCCTCTTTCTAGCCCTAGCCCATGTTCCTTGTAGTAAGAATCAATCATTCTCCTCCTTGTTATTCCAGTTTTAACCAACTGTGCCTCCCTACATATGACTCATATGAAGAGGTCCACAGAATGCTCCAGCTGGCCATCAGCGAGGGCTGTGAGGGCTTCGGCATGCTCTGACCGCTCCTGCTTGGCTCCCGCCCTCTCTCGAGCATCTGGACACATGCTCACAAGCATAATCACTGACCTTAATACACGTAACCATTAGCCAGAAGCTACTGCATGCTCCCCTGTGTCTGGAGTGTTCTGTCATCTCCATTGTTCTTACCTCACCTCTCTGTGTCCACGTTTGCCACAGGCCACTTGGGCACGTGGTACCTATCTGAGCCCTACTCAGTCATGAGGAGAGGACCATGCTGCTGTCATTTTATTTGGTCCTTTGAAGATCTCTGCAGCTGAATCTGCCTCAGTAGCTTGGAACGATGGATGACACAGAGGACTCGATTCTGTTGGAAAGCTGGCATGCTGAGACCCTTGGGCCATGCCTCGTTCCAGCACCCTCTGCTCTTTGGAAATACCCTCCATGATCTCACTACTTGACCACACTGGCACGTGATCCCTTCTCCTGGGCTACCTATCGCCTCCTCTCACCAATAGCCAGGAGAAGCACAGCTAGGATGGGGCTCACACAAGCCATCTGATTGATCCTCCCACACAATGGCAGGCGCAGGCCCTGGCACTGGGTGAGTTCTCATGCGGACTGGTAGTACAAAAGGGTCTCTTTGTGGTAACAGAACTGGAAAAGACACTCCCTGTGGGCATTTTCAAAGATGATCATTAATCCATAAGGAGTTTGCTAAGCTTCCTCTTGAATTTGAGCCAGTGAGAAAAGCCGTCAGAAGAATGTGAAGGATGGCTGTGCTGCTCCCTCGGGGAAGGGCCATGTCCAGGCATGTGGATGGCTTGAAGACTACTGATGCTTTTCTCTGATCTTGTTGTTTGCACTGAAGGATGGTTTGGCCTGACCTCCAACTTATGTAGTCTGTTAAGAGCTTTCTTTAGCATTCTGCTGGACAGTGAACATAGCATGCCAGCTCACTTTGGTGGTGGTCTCTGGCAGTGCTCAGGCAGAGGAACTGTGATCATAGTCCTTTGGGATAGACATGGCAGAGGTCCAGCAGCAGTAAATACCTAGCAATTCCAGGTACTTGACTTCATCAGTTACCAGGAAGGGGAACCTAGGAGGGAGGAAGCTGTATTGGGTTCAACGTTACGTGGAGATCCAAGAGAATTTGTCAGCCTCTCGGAAGACGATAACATCTTTTCATTAGTGTTTAAATGAAAACAACTTTAAGGCTCAAGATCACACGGACTTCCCAATTTCTCTCTTTAATAAGGCTTTGCTACAAGACACTCAGAATATTACAAGCCATCTTTAATGCCAAAACCAGCAAGTACACAGAATCCCGAGACAAGGTAGTTCTTGTGACAGTGCCTTGGCCTCCTGGAAGCATGTCTGAGCCCTCCTGTTCCTAGGGATCATGAGAAACAAGCCCTCCTGAGCTGCTAGAATTCCTGCCTGACCTCCTTCGCAGTCATCATTTGTCCTCTCTTGGTGTGGGTGCTGACCTCACTTATCCTCGGGGTCTGGGACCTGGCATCAGGGCTTCTTCACCCCAGGATCCTCCATGCCACATGGTCACTGCTCTCCTCAGGGACCAGGACAAGGTGCTGCCGCTTGCCCACACTTTCCCATGGAGCATGTACAAGATTCGGTTGGCCATTACCCTGCTGCCCCTCAGTCCTCCATTGAGGCTTCCAGCTGGGGTACATGGCTGGCTTGGCGCTTGGAGGTTCTGCAGTCCTGGCTCCAGCACCCCTCTAGAGACTCTGCAGAGGGGGACAGTTTATATTCTTGGCTAGACCTGTCATTTTAAGCTCTAGTCATAGCACTTTTTCAGTCTCCTAGGCACTGTTGCAGCCCGACTGCAGTATCCCAGGGTGGTCTTTAGGCACCAGAGTCTTTAACAAAACCCCTTAGTACTGTGTGCTTTTTTATCCTTCCAGTTCACTCTCTCCCAACTGTTCAGAAGCATTTTTGCTCTCTTTTGCATTTTCTTTTTACCTTTTTTTTTTTTTTTTTCCTAATACTATTTTGGTACTAGCCAGTGTGGGGAAAAAGATACAGTATAGTCTGTTGGAGAGATAAAAAGATGTGTTATTTCTTGGGCAATTTTCTATTCATGTTCCTTATTTTGGCCAGTTCCTCTGTTTATGCTTTGTGACATAGGCACTCAGAAGGCCAGCTGCCCTCCTGGCTTTTGGCTTTTCAGTGTCCTTGAAGGAGACCAGTCATGAAACGAACACCGAGGAAAATGTTGGCGTGGTTCTAGAAACTTGGCAGAGACTTGCTTTCTGCTGCACATTGTCAGGCCAGGTCTGGACGTCTGCAGCTGGAGATGTAAATATTTTGTACAGTAAATAAAATGCCTACAAGAATCGAGAGCTAAGTGACTGTTTGCGTTGGGGTGGGCAGTACTTAAGGAAGATGGGGAGGAAAATGTTTAGAGATGCTGTGTATGTTCTTGGAAGCAGGGAGCAATCTGCCGTGGATAGAGTGCACTGGGGGCCCTGGCTAGTCTCCAGTACCTGTCCTCAGGGCAGGGCCACGCTACTCGCTATAGATAGCAATCCAGTGGACAAGTGTTTGTGTTCCGAGCCTGAGGGGGAAACTGGTTCACTATGAGCAAAGGGTATCTATTATAAGTCTTTAGGCATTAATTTGTTGCTCTCTACATCAGAAAGTCTAGCAGAGACATTTTCTAAATGAGAAGTTAAAGGGGAGGGGGTTAGAGAGATGGCTCAGCAGTTAGGGACTCTTGCTGCTCTTACAGAACCTGGCTTTGGTTCCTGGCACCTTCACTGCCTTTAACTCCAGTTCCAGGGGAGCCAGGGACCCAGGACATCCACAGGCATCTGCACCCACATAAACTCACAGGCACACACATCTGTTACAAAACAAACATTAAAAGTTCAAGGAAGGTGGATGTGGTAGTGCGCATCCTGTGGTCCCCGCTGCCTGCGTGGCTGAGCCAGGAGCATCGTTGGAGCCCAGGAGTTTAAGAACAGCCTGAGTAACACCGGGAGACCCTACCTCATAAGACAAAAACCCTTTCAGTATCAAACAGCAGCAGAGCCCCAAACAGAACAAAAGAAGGGAAAGTATGCAGTAAGCCACCTCCCCCAGCGGGAAACAGTGTCAGCACCTTGCAGCTTCCACTTGTCATGTAATCCCCATTTACCGTGGTCCTCGCATGTTGCGCCCTTGGTTGCACCCTCACAGCTACTTTTAAAAGTCCCCTGAGACCATCTTGGCCCCATGAGAATGTAGCCCAGACTCCTGGTGCTGAACCTGATCAACCCTATGTTCTGAGGCTGCGTCAGGTACTCCTTGGCATTTATGACCTGTTTGTGGCCTGGTTTGACATGATTGAGACTCTGTGATAGTCAGTGGGACATTACTAAGTACCATATAAGTATGGGAGTACAGTACAGTAAATTCTCCCAAATTTGTGGACTGGGCTAGTTTTTCAGACTCAGTACTCAATGTCTGCCTTTTTTTTTTTTTTTTTTTTTTTTTTTTTTTTTTTTTTGAGACAGAGTCTCTGTAGTAGTACAATCCAGGCTGGCCTAGAACTCTCCTGCCTCTACCTCCTGAATGCTGGGATTAAAGGCATGTGCCACCGCCATGCTTGGCTCCAGGACTGTATTTGAGGATGAGTCCATTGTTTTTCAGAAACCAAACTTGACATTTTTGGTTTGTCTCTTGATAATTTTACAGAGAGAACCCAGGCATTAGGCTGCCAGTATGACCTGCCTGCCTCACATTTACTTGGTTCTGGGTGTGACAAGTGAACACTTTATACCTCGGTTTACCTACTAGTCACTGTGATCTGGGGTTGATGGAGAGAAGGCCGTGCTTTAGGGTAAGAGAGTTTTTAAGAGGTACAGCGAGTCTGCATGGAGAAGCTGGGCGTGATGGACACCTGTAATCCTAGCACTCAGGGAGGCAGAAGCAGGTAGATCTCTGTGAGTTCGAGGACAGCCAAGGCTACATAGAGAAACCATGTCTGGGGCGGGGGAGGTAGAGTCTGCATAGAGAAAGTTCTGTAGAACTGTGAGCTAATAACCTGGGAAAAGAGATTGCCAAGTTTCAAATGAGCCCTGCTAAAGAACACAAGACTCCCTCGAAGTAACTGAGGAGGGCGGGTCCTAAAATTATTTTTATCTCTACATTGGTGGAAGATCTTTAGTCACATGTAAATGGGGTAATTACAATGAAGTCAGACACAGTTCTCTGGTGTTTATCTTTGGTAACTGTGTCTGCAGAGAAAGAGTCATTTGAATAAACCTCTTGTCTATACTATCTTTACATGAAACAACACCAGTTGGTAAAGGCCAAATTCCTGAAGCACACTTCACTGGAAAGCGTACAATTTCAAGAGTGCCACCCTCCTCATCCTGGCACACCAGTAACACCATGATTCTATTGAAGCTATAATCATGGTCAGTTTTTTGGTTTTGTTTTGTTTTGTTTTTGGTGAAGGTTCCTCTCTGGGATGATTTCTCCACAAACCCCCTGCTTCACCTACACTGTTGGTTTGTCAAAGGCGGAATCTGAAGCTTTCTATCTTTTACAGGCTGAGGGTTCCCTCTCTCCAGAACTCCCACTCACAGAAGCTGCCAAGACATTCCTCTGCCCATTAGCAGAGTCGGGGATATCAGGATTTGCAAGCCAGCTGGAGAAGGCTGATGACTTTTAGGCTATTCCGAATGCAAAACATGTAAAAAGAGCATGTGTCATCATTTTAGGGTCTCCTAAGTCCTAGGTCTAATTCTCCCAAGTTGTCATTTCAACTTCTGCAAAAGACTCAGCTCAAATCTGGTGTTTCTCTTTCATCTCTGGATCTGTGGTGACCGTTTCCGCTCTAGTTCTGTCCATATCTGTATTTCAGCAAACATTTCTTGTATATGGAGACACCACAGAGAGCTTGGAACACTAGATGGAATATAATGCCTGCCTGTGAGTACCTCACAGTTTCGTGCCCTTACCCTGAGACATAGGGTCACATGCCCCCACATTTCACATTGTACTTTATTTTCACAGGGGTAGGGAATATTTCTATATGTGTTTGGAGACTACATGTAACAGCAGCAAGTGAGATACCTAGCTCCTTTAACAAAGAGAAATTACTCTCCCTGCTGACTTTCAGAGAAGAAAGAACGCTTGTAAAGATGGACCCAAACAGACCCAAGGAGCAAGTTCTCACTGTACCGAAGTCTGTCACTTAGCAGATCCTGGACCAGGCTGGGGAAGGGAACGTCAGGCTCTGAAGGGCAGTTCTCCTTTAACCTGCTCTCCCAGCCACCCAAGACCTGGGCACCGACTTTGGCAGCAGGGAACTGGCCGGCTGCCTGCAGCTCAGTGAATGAAATTAAAATCTTGAGTGAATGGGGAAAGGGAGTGTTTTCAACAGTAATAGCAATCAAACAGACGTGTGCTTGGTTGGAATAACTGGGATGGCAGAGGGAAGACAAAGCCATTTTCGATGAACCCCAAAGCACAGAGAAGCGGCTTAACACTGTGAAGAGCCATGACATTGGCCACCACGAGTGGAAACGTTGAACTTATTCCAGTTTTCCCATAGTGTCGAGTCAAACCCAGGAAATGAGCCCTGAGTTCTCTGCTGTGTGGTATGACCAATCTTGCTACTCTCTGGGACTTGGGCAGCTCTGGTGATTCCCCCAGTAGCTAGATTGGTACTAGTTTGGACTCTGCCTCAAGAAAACCAGCTCACTATGCTCTCTCCTCCTCTTCTTGTGTTTTGGTTTTCCAAGACAGGGTTTCTTTGTGTAGCTTTGGCTGTCCTAGACTCCCTTTGTAGACCAGGCTGGCCTTGAACTCAGAAAGATCCACCTGTCTCTGTCTCCCAAGTGTGGGGGTTAAAGGCGAGCACCGCAATGCCCGGCTTTTGCTCCCTTCTTAAAAGGATTTCTTTGAAGCCTTGTTCAAGATAATACCAACACGTGTTTTCCTCAGATCAACCCAGCAATGGAAGTGAAATTGTGTTCTCTAGCGGGTACTTTATGTCTCAGAGAAATGAACATACTGAACAAATCCAGGAAGGCTCGTGTGCCGCTCTGGGAACGTTGCAGGAGGGGTCGGGTAGCAGCCATCCATCTGTAGATCCCACAATGGTTCTCGTCTGCTCCCCCGCCCCCAGAACCTTAAAAATTCTGTTGTCTTGGCATCTAAGTTATGTCTTCCAGACAGCCTCTCACACTAGGAACCAGCACAAATCTCTCTTGTCAGACCCTATCTTGAGTTTTGGTTTCAAAAATGTCACTGTGGATTAGCTATGGAGAGAAAAAAGGAAGCAAAACTCCAGCCCTGACTTTTGGGGTGAGGCTGGGCTTAGGGGCTTGGTGCAGCAAGAACAGGGGGCCAAGATAGTGGTTGGCACAAGGATACGGAGAACTCTGGAAGCAGAGCCAGAGCCTCCAAGGACTGAGGCCCAGGAAAGCCTGGCACAGGGAATAGCTGCGTCTAACCAGGAACACTCAGTCATTTTCCCTCAGCCTTGGCAGCAGGTCAGAGCAAGCAGTTCTAGAAGGGTCCACATCCTTTCTATTGTCCCCACCCCAGCTCCACTCATCATCCCAAACATCTGCTTCAAATTTGAGCCCTTGCCTCTCTGCCTGATTGCATACTAAACCATGGGTAGTGAGGGTGAGGGCAGGTCCGCAGGTGTCGGGTGGGGAAAGACAGTTCTGGTTGAGGCTGCTCTAGGTTCTCCTTCAGGTAGTACAGCAGACTAAAGCTGGGACATTTTTCTAAATGCACATATGCCTCCAAAATCTAGCCAGTAACTGGTTTCACTTTCTGGGTTAAAGGGAGTGACCTGGGGGAAGGAATTGGGAGGAGCTGGAGAAGCCTGGGCCATGGCAGGAACTAATTTTCAAAGGTAGCTCAGCCCGTCCAGAGGGAGCCCGCAGAGGTGGTTAATGCCCGGGACAAGCAGTGAGGTGCTAACAGGGCATTAAACACCTCTGCAGGGCTTATAAGCTGAAACAGACACCAGTGAGTCAGGGCCCTGAAACTAGTCTGTAGCTGAGTGGCTAGCAGGGAAGCAGCCGGAGGAGCTGCCAGTCACAGCATCCTTAATGGTGGCACAAGGCAGAAGGTGTGTTTCTCTAGCACTTGTCCTGATTGGCAGGCCGTTGCTAAGTTACAGAAAACAACCTAAAGGGATAATTTTGGAGCTTGTGTGATAACAGGTGCCATTTAGATTGCGTTTATTCCATGCAGACCCTGCCCTAAGCGTTTGGGCTGTGTTAACTCGTTTCATCTTCACATCTATTCTATAAGCTATATTTAGTATTTCCATGTTACAGGAGGAAACTGAGGCACAAGGAGTGATCTGCCCAAAGTCACATGTCTAT